TGGTAAAAATGGGTTACCCGTAAGTACTCTTTTATACATATTTTGGTTAACTGAAGAAAAAAAAAACAAAACCAACATTTTTTATCAGAGACTCAGCTACACTGAAGCTTAAGCAGCAGAGTGCTTTCTCCATGTGCTCTCTTTAGAAGGCAGCTCTGGTGCTGTAGTTGACTTCCTCAGGTTGTTAAGAGAGGGGGACCCATGTTTCTAAGAGAAATTTATGATTTCCCAGTTCCAAGGAAAGTAAGAGGCATGGCATGCCATAAGCAGCTGTACAAGGAGTCCAACTCTGGTGAGGCTGGCTTTTTTGCAGAAAGGAACTTGAAAAAGAGGACATTCTTAAATCCAGACCTCTTCCAGGACAAAACGAAGTGCTTCATTGACCCTTCATAGACACATGCTGTCATGTTGCCTGCTCCTAACCTCAGCTGCTATTAACTTTCCAGATGTACCTCTCACACCTCAACTCTTGTGCAGTAATTCAACTGCACCTTCCGCTTCATCTTTCCTGCTTTCCTTTCTCTGTGTTCCTCTATTTTACCCTCTCTTCTGTCACATTTGCTGTTGTCCTGGTTTCAGCTGGGATAGAGTTAATTTTCTTCTGATATAGTGCTGTGTTTTGGATTTAGGATGAGAATAATGTTGATAACACACTGATGTTTTAGTTGTTGCTAAGTAGTGCTCACACCAGTTGATTTTTCAGCTTCCCATGCTCTGCCCGGTGCACAAGAAGCTGGGAGGGGGCACAGCCAGGACAGCTGACCCAGACTGGCCAAAGGGCTATTCCATACCATATGATGTCATGCTCAGTATATAAACTGGGGCGAGCTGGCCAGGGGGGAAGCGATAGCTGCTCGGGAATGGGCTGGGCATTGTCGGTGGGTGGTGAGCAATTGTGTCGTGTATCACTTGCTTTGTATATTATTATTGTATTACATTATTATTATTATTACTACTACTACTACTACTACTATTCTATTTCATTTTACTTCAATTATTAAACTGTTCTTATCTCAACCCATGAGTTTTTCTGACTTTCACCCTTCCAATTCTCTCCCCCACCCCACCGGGGGGGGAGTGAGCGAGCGGCTGTGTAGTGCATAGTTGCTGGCTAGGGTTAAACGACGACAGCTGTCATCTTCCTGTATTGTTCCTTCCTCCCTTCTCTAGGTGACTCCCATCTGTAGGTCAGTTCACCATGAGCCACTGATAGATCGCATATGCATCCTCTGTGGTGAAGTATTGCCCAGCAATGCACACAATAACAAATAGCTGTCATATTCCATGAGTGTCTCAGCTGCTGTTGTGTATCTGTCCTTTGTTGATGCTTTACTACCTGGCTTCTTTGTTTCCTTACTCATTATCTGTTGCTGCCACTTTGTGCATCTTTCCCCTCTCTAAGACCTTCCCACCCATAGGCTGTCATCATTACCATGCCTGGTCCTCCTTTTTTATGCTGCCATGCACCACTGCTGTGAACTTCCTGTTCATTCCTGCCCCCTGCAAGTGAACACCAAATGAAACTGGTATGTTTTAAGATATTAAAAAAAATAATTCAGTAGTCATTCATGGGATGCATTATTCCACTCCTGCATGAATGCTGCCTGCATACATTGGTATGTTCAGAGAAATGTAGCTGGTTTTGCAAATATTTAGGCTAAATTCAGGTTATGTGTCATTAGGGTGTTTATGGACAAGAGGTTTACATTTTCTATATTAACAGAAGTCTGACTACTTTCCAGCAGAACATTTTCAAAGAAAATTCTATGAAACCAAAGTAATGGGGAAATGTCTTATAGAAAATTCTTCAAATGTAATTCAAATGCTTCAAAAGCAATTGTTCTGTCCTTGTAAACAAATCCTTGTAAAACAATCCTATTTCCTATCATAGACATTTTGTTATATCTTGTGAAATGGACTATTGTCCTGTATTTTTTATAGATACTCTTTTGTCCATGTGCAGCCAGGTTCCAGTCTTGCATATATCTATGCAACTTAAATATTGGATTGATGGAGCTTCACTCAGAAATAAAATTCATGTGCGCTAGATTTATATTGGCCATGTGTTTGGTACTTTTCTATAAACTCGATACCAGTTACTCTACAGGAAAAATGACAATAGGAGAAAAAAACCTTTTAGTCTTACAGATACATTTTTCTCCATAAGTTTATATAACCCATCTTTAAAATTAGTACAGCCCTAAAACTTGAGCAGTAGAGTCCATAATCACAGCTGTCCAAATTCCCCAAATGCCATTAGGGAAAATAGAATTTATTTGTCTTCTGAATTTTTTTCCATTGTCCTAACTGAATTCATAAATAGTACCACTTTATAATAGCACTGACTTTAAAGCTGGTGGGAGTTCTTTCTAGCCAATGATCAAGCCTCTATAGGAAGAGCATATGTGTGTTACATGTAGATAAGATGAACATATGTAGAAAGGTTATTTGGGATTAATTTGACTGGTGAAGTTTAGCATGGAAAATGGGGTGAAATGCTATGTAGCACCACACATTCCCTGTCAGATGCATGTCCTCAGGAAGTATCCTGCTTGGTAGGAATTGAGTATATTCAGGTGGGTCAAGGCAAAAAGGATTTCAGTAGAAGGTGCAATGAACAGCCTAATGACAATGGTATGATTTGGTGCACTCAGGGCAGCAGTTTGCAGTAGTGTGTTACAAATATATCTCACTATTCTTTGTTGACTATCACTTCTGTATGAAATTAAAAGTAGATTTCTTCCAAGCGTCCATTTTCTCATAGTTTGAAAGTTGTTAGGGAAGAGGCAGAATTCTAGCCTGGAATTTACCTGCTGTATGCATATTCAGCAACTTTGGAATAAATGAAGACTTTCTTAACTCTTAGATAAGTAAATGGCTAAGAGACAGAAAATCTGAAGAGGACTTTTCAGACAGCTGTCACTAGATTTAGATTAGATATAAGGAAGAAATTCTTCACCATGAGGGTGGTGAGGCACTGGAACAGGTTGCCCAGAGAAGTTGTGGATGCCCCATCCCTGGAAGTGTTCAAGGCCAGGTTGGATGGGGCTTTGAGCAACCTGGTCTAGTGGAAGGTGTCTCTGCCCATGGCAGGGGGTTGGAACCAGATGATCTTTAAGGTCCCTTCCAACGCAAACCTTTCTAGGATTCTAGGATTCTATTTGTTCTAGTGGAACATGATAGTTCTCAAAATATTTGTCACCAGTGCTGTGTGGTCCAGTTGGCATCCTGTCAAATCCAAATGCAGTCTGCCAAGTGTTTCCATCTGTATCCCCCAAACGGGCTTCACTGCCACTTTGTTGTGGGCAGAGTAGATGTAGTGAGAGGCACGTTTTGTGCACTGCCAGCTGCATAGAGGTGTAAGTAAGTCCTGTATCTCCTCCCACTGCACAAACCAAGAGTTAGAATCTAGCACCCGTAGTGCTAGTTTCTGTCTAATTAAATGTCTAATTAAATAATGTCTAATTAAAAATAATGTCTAATTAAAAAATGTATTTCCTTTCAGGGTAAAAATGGACTTCAGGGTTTGCCAGGACTGAAAGGAAAAGCAGGCCTAAAAGGCGAAAAGGTATGATGTGTCCTGTTAACAACCAACAGTCAATCAGATACCACTTATGCTTGGACATGTGTTAATTTGGTACACTCTGAGACAAGAAAAAAATTATAATAGGGAATCACAGGAAGAATTTAAACATCCTACTGTTCACTCATGAATCTGCATGAAGGGCAGTCATAACTGAATCATAAGGATTTTTCAAGAATGGGAATAAACTTCAGCAGTAGAAAAAGTTGGGCTTTCACAGGAGAAATAAGGAAGATATATTTAACATTTAATAAAGCAAAGTCAATTGTTATATATAACTGCTCTGTGAAAGTTGAAATAAGAGCTAAACCATCTGAAGTAACAACTTGTATCACTTCTGAGCTGAAGTGAGCTATAATAGATTAATCTATCATTAAAGCACATGTTGTAGACAAAATTGGCACTCAGCCAGTTACTCCAAATGCCAAATTAATAATTCATTTCATCTGTTTACCAAAACAATTTAGGCTTCATAAACTCACAAGCATAACCCATATAAAGCTCAGGTATTCAGATTCAATTTGAAAGGGTCTGGAATCATTTCAAAGGTAGAATTAGTCTCTAGTCCAGGTATCAGGTCACAAGATTGCATGGCAACCCCTCATCTCTCTGTCCATCTGAACAGTCTGTCAGGTGTAATGGAAAGATACATTGGGCAAAGGGTTATAATCTGAAGAGAAGTGAAGGCATGTCAGGCAGTTAGGAAGCATCTCAGGTACAACATGAGGGGGGACACTCTTGCACCCTCCTGGTGAAAGTGGCATGTCTAGGACCCATGTCAGGTACATGTTGACAAAAGCAGGCAGCATGGAGACAAACAGGAGGACTTAGAAGTCCATGCACAGTTACAGGGCTATGACCTCTTTAAGGTTACAGAGACATGGTAGGATAGCTCACAACTGGAGTGCCGCAGTGTATGAACACAGGCTCTTCAGGAAAGATAGGCTAGAAAAGCAGATTATCAGTAGGACATTAAATCAGTTGGTAACAGGCATTACAGGTGCTCTGTACAGGCATTTCAGAGTCTTGTTTCTGAAACCTCTGAGCAGTCTCATATCAGCAAAGGGCAGTTTGATGAAATTGTTGAGCCAGGATTCTCTTTCTCTCTACTTTGTCTCTCCATTCCTCTCCACTTTTCACCCTCTCACCAACCCTGGACTGGACTGGCAGAGTTTAGCAGCAGAAATCAGAAGACTCTAGACTTCAGGGAAAAAATTAATGAGAAGTAAATTCCAGATTAAGGACTGTAGTATTGGTGGAGGACTTTGACAGGGTGCTACTTACATCTTCGTTGGTGCTAAAAGCTGCAGCATGGATGGATCACAGAATCACAGAACCACTGAGGTAGGAAGACCTCTCTGGAGATTGTCTAGTCCAGCACCCCTGCTCAAAGCAGAGGCAGCTAGAGCAGGTTGCCCAGGACCATGTCCAGTTTGGTTTTACTATCTCCAAAGACAGAGATTCCACAACCCCTCAGGGTAACTTCAAGTGTTTGATCACTCTTAGAGTAAAAAGGGGGGGTTGTACATTTAAATGGAATTTCTTATATTTCGATTTATGCCCATTCCCTCTTGTCCTTTCCCTGGATACCACTGAGAAGAGTCTGGTTCAGTCTTCTTCATTCCCACCCATCACATATATATGCACATTGACAAGATCCGCCCCAAGTTGTCTTTTGTCTGGGCTAAATATAATCTTTCTCAGCCTCCCCTCATAAGTCAGAAGCCCCAGTCCTTCAGTTATCTTTGTGGCCTTTAACTGGGTTCATTCCAGTATGTCCCTATCTTTCTTGTACTGGGGAGTCCAAACTGGGCCACAGTACTTCAGATGAGTAGAGCAGAAGAATAACCTCCCTCAACCTGTTGGCAATGCAGAAATTGGGGCATGGTATCATCTAAGTGTTCTGTCGTTCAGACACTGCAAGAAGCAATTGTATTACCACCAAGAACTGCAGTGCCATTAACCTCACTTGAAAAATATTACAGAAGTTCTAGATACATTTTAACAGTAGCATACCCTGAGTAGTGTGGCATATCTCATTGTGCTATTAGAGTACAAGATAGTCTACACTAAGGTTTCCAAAGCTAGAAAGAGTAGCATGCACTGATTTATAGCAGTCATGTACCTAAAACTGTCCCTGCTCTAATGCGTCCCTCAAAATGACTACTGAGTTTGTAAGTAGGTGTCATTGCTATGTCTTATGTGGCATTCAGTACTACAAGCTGTCAGGTAAATACCACAACACTCTTCATGATGGCATTATGTAATGATTTTTCCTTCCTTTCTGAATATCCTCCGTCATATTTTCATATCATGCCAAAATATGTAACCAATACAATCACTTTCCAACAGAGATGGATTTTCTACAGCATTCATACATTTCATACAGTAGGAAGGCCCTACAGAGGGACCTGGACAGGCTGGATAGTTGGGCCAGGGCCAGCTGTATGAGATTCAACAAGGCTAAGTGCCGAGTCCTGCACTTGGGTCACAACAACCCCATGCAACGCTACAGGCTGGGGGAGGAGTGGCTAGAGAGCTGCCTCGCAGAAAACGACCTGGGGGTGTTGGTTGACAGCCGCCTGAACATGAGCCAGCAGTGTGCTCAGGTGGCCAAGAAGGCCAATGGCATCCTGGCCTGTATCAAGAATAGTGTGGCCAGCAGGACCAGGGAGGTGATAGTGCCCCTGTACTGGGCACTGGTGAGGCCGCACCTCGACTACTGTGTTCAGTTTTGGGCCCCTCACTACAAGAAGGACATTGAGGTGCTGGAGCGTGCCCAGAGAAGGGCAATGAAGTTGGTGAAGGGTCTAGAGCACAAGTCTGATGAGGAGCGGCTGAGGGAGCTGGGGTTGTTTAG